GGGGGGGGGATATGTGTGTATTCACATCATTTATGTTAATGAGAGTGTGGGGAGTGAGTTGGAGGGTGGGGTGGGCTGTTTTTAACTATGTAAAGCACTTTGTGCTACATTGTTTTTTGTATGAAAAGTGCTTTATAAATAAAGATTGATTGATTGATTGATTTATGCCCCTATAGACTTCCCTCACTCTGATGAAATAATCCACTCATATCATGCAGTCATATGCATATTGCACTACTCAGTTTTGCACTATAGTTTGTGTAATTTCTAATTTCTAACTTGTTTTTTCCCCACTTTTTATCTCTCTCTCTCTCCTTAAACTTGGGCAATTAACAATGATTCTGATTCAATACAGATCTGCCCAGACAAATGGACCTCACTGGATATTTCCTTTTTTGGGGGGTCTTTTCTGTAAACTCTAGATGTGAATGTGCAGGAAAATCCCACAAGATCAGATGTTTCTGAGAGTAAAAGACATGTAGTTGTAGTTACAGATTAAAAAGCTACATTTAACTAAATTTACACAGCAGTTACGCAAACATGCACACACATTTCTGCAATTCATTCAAGGAGGAAGTTGCATAATGTATCAGTTCAGGGTTTGTGTGAGTCCCTTTAAAAAAAAATCTCTTCTGCCAATGACTGTGCTGTTGATGAGCTCTGAACTCAAACAAAGCTGTTAATATCTTGACAGTTTATATATCAAGCATGTGTACAACGTACAAGAAGAACTCTTTTGCAAAATCAACCACAAACACCTCTGATGTCTGTATGACATCTGTGACCCACACAACACTACCCTCACTGCTGACTTGAGGATGTCCAGTGCTCCATAGTATTTGCGTCCTCCCAACACATACAGTTTGTTGTTCAAGAGACAGACACAGTGTCTGAATCGCGCAGGTTCAGGAAACTTTGCAAATGGTTTCCATTCTATGCTCCTTCTTAAACCGGGGCCACGGTGAAACTGTTGAGCAAACCACAGGGTCTGGCTGGGAACCCTCTTCATGAATTCATCATCAACAGTGTCCCCACCTACCAAAACCAGGACCTAAAGAAAAGTGGTAATATTGCTTAAACGGACATAGCTTTAATTGAATTCCAAACATCAGTGAAGTAAAAGAGTATCAACCTGGTTTTTGGTGCGAGGATGATATTTAGGCCCTCTGTAATCCCCTTCAATGAGACTTTGGAGGGCTACCAGTGTTTTCCTTGCACCAGGGCTCCTGAGTAAGATGCTGCAACTAAGGGCCTCCTGAAGTTCAGCATAGCTGAAGAGTGTGATCCGAACATGAAGGAGCAGGCTGGACAGGCATTGGAGTCTCTCTTTAGGGTTGTCCTCCACCCAGCTCACTACTGCCTTGAACACCACAATCTAATTATAAAGAAGAGAAATGCTTTAGAAATATTATTTTACAAAATAAACAATAAATTGCATAAATAGCCTGTGATTACTACTCCAACTGTCCTTAAGAAAGTCGTGAAGAAAATCTATTCATTTTAAATTTGAGTTAATAATTTATATTTTTTCACATATACAAACTGAATATTTTCAGTTACAACTACTGAATGCTGCACTTTGGATGGTGTACAATTGTAGGCAATGTCACCTACACAACATTTTGTGAGCAATACATTAGGCTAATTGTATTTTCTCTTCCATTTGTAAATACAAAGAATTAATATTTTAATGGTCAAACTTTGCAGTTATAAAGTATGTAAAGACCCCCAAAACAGCACTGAATATAAATGTGTCTTATTTAAATTTTTTGTTCTTTTATATAAGGCTGTTGAACTGTAAGCAGAAGTAACACATTAGTTGTGAAGCTAAAAGCCTATAAGCTGCTGCATGTTTCTGGTTCTGCCACAGGTTTCATCCTTTTAAAAAGACGTTTTTCCTTCACACTGTCTCCAAGCACTTGCTCAAAGGAGACCGTTTCATTGTTGCTATCTCCCTTTTGTTATTACTATAACAGGATCTTTACCTTACAGTATACATTGCTTTGAAGTGATTGTTACTGTGATTTTATGCTATATAAATAAAAATGAAATGAATTACAAACCCATTGCATTGCACATGGATAACAGCTGTTATCCCTGGCATTACCTTGGGAACATAAAATGATTGAGAAATTAAAAAAAAAAAGTTAGATATGATAGACGAAAGGAGGAACACGTGATGAGAAATTTAAGCTAAACACAAAAAGAATGACTGACCACCAGAAATAAAAATACTACCTCACTCTCTACAGACAAGGAGTCCTTCTTAAGAAGTTTGTCAAGGAGGTGAAAGGGAATATCCTTGAACTTTTCCCCATAAGAGACGCACTGGAAGTGGGCTGCAATATACTCCTCGGCTGCCTGCCCTAGCTGGACCAGCCCGTAGGTCTCAGCCAGGACCAGCACATCTAGACATGTGCTTTCATCCATTCTGTCCTGCATGAACTCAATGCACAGCGACAGCGCCCCCTCCAGCTGGAACTGAAGCATTGCATCTGTAAGCTCCCAAATCCGACTCCAGTTCAGTCTGAGCTGACCGGTGTAGATGAAATAGAGCATGGATTCAATCACCCAAGACGACACACCTCGCAGGCACACCACTTCCTGGCAAGACTCCCGTAACCCTCCACACAGCAATGCCCGGAAATAGTCCCCAGCTGCTGCTAACACCACACGATGTGCTGAGAAAAGTCAGGAGATGATAAAAAGGTCACAGAGAAAGATGCGGATAAAGTAGAAAAGACACAAGGTAAGTAAACGTTTCTAACTCCACCTAGTGTTAGCATACTGGGAATGCATTTCCAGTTTACTTTCTCCTTCAAAACAACAGCGGGTGATCATTTTGAGTTTATGTCATACTTTTTTTGTCTTTTTTTTCTTTTTACAGCAGCACGTGTCTGGTCAGCATGTGTCACCAAGAAATGACACATTTTTAGTTAAAAAAAATTCCTATATTAGTAAATGACATGATTTTGTGTATATATTTACTTTGTGTTGACATTATTGACATTCCATTTCTCTTACCTGCATAAACAACAGCTGACTGTCACACTATGAACTATTCTGGGAAAAGGATTCTAGGAAATCTACAAGTTTGTGGAGGAGCGTGTAGTACAGTCACCCTTTCTGTGAATGTGATTATCATGAGTAAAATAGTTGCACGCCAGCTACAGTTGTGGTCAGAATTTTACACACATTCATCATGTACATAAATGTCATAGCAATTTAGGACTTTTATATGATTTATTTGAACTGTTCTTTTTCCAGGGTGGAACGATTGTGCAGCATGCGTCTTTAGTGACTCAAGGAAAAAAGAACTTGGTGCACAAGTTTGAATTTATTTTAGATTTATTTTGGATATAATACAACAGCACAATATACTGTGTTGTATACTGTTCAGATATACATTTCAGAGTGCACAGATAATGCCACTGCTTTCAGTACAACTACACTGACTGACTACTACAGTTAATAGATTTTACATACAAAACATACATTCATCTTCATACACAATATACTTTTTTTTACACATACAACACCCCATGTTATATGCTATAAAACAGTTCTTTTAAGTAATGCTTTAAATGGAGTCTTGTAACCTAAAGCCCTGAGCTCAACCCTACTGAAAATAATTAAAACCCAGGTCTCAAACCAACTAATTTGACTGAAGTCTACCACTTCTGTTGAGAAGAGTGGTCAAATATCCAAAAAGAATTAAGCCAGAAACATAAAAGAAAATCCAAAATAATTTAATTTAATTCATGACAGACATATGATATACTATGATTCCAATTTGAGAAAAGATCAGTTCAAAGAAATCATTAAAAACTCCCAAATTATCATGACATGCAAACCCATAATGAGTTCATGGAAACGTTTGACCACAATTGTATGAACTGTGACCAGATCTAAGAACAGTATTTGTTTCTCTTTTAATGATCACAATAAAAATGAAGGGCAGTATGCATTTGCAGATCTGAAATAAATGCTTTGGGAATTTTCTTGTAACTATTTATTTAAAACAATCTCAATCTTTTCAAAGCACTATAATTGAAAACTGTTTAAAAGAAAAACTTTAATGCCAGTATGAACGTATGGAACTTAAATTGAAAAGTAACATACTCTAGTTTCTGGGGATTTTCCTTTTCAGCATGTGACTAAAAGCAGTCCCAGCTCTAATTCTAATTCTAGATGTTTCATTGTTGGGTGTTACGAGATTAAACCTTGTTCGGGTCATATTACCCTACATCATAATCTCAAAGGCTACACTGGTCAGTTAGTGGACATTCCTCATCGATTACTTTTCATTTGTTACCACTGTAAAGTCATGTAAAGTCATATATGATCCCATATATGAGTGTTTGGGCCTCACCTGAATTTTTCTCTCCAGTCTCTGCTTGTATTGTGACATCACATCCTTCTCCTCTCTTCCACATGTCTCTGATGATAGCCAAGCTCTTCTCTCTCTCTTTTGCAGCAGAAGTTTTGATCTTTGATATGCAACTTTCTTTCAGCCTCTCCATCTGGAGACATTGAGAAGCATTTAAAACCTCCTCAATTACCCGCTCTTTACTCAAGTCCATGGCCACATGTCCACAATATGCAAACTCCATGATAGCCCTTAAACCAACTGGTGTCAAACATTGTGCAATTTCTCCCACTCCAAGCCCTGGCATTTCTTTTGAACCTAAAATTGCATTTGGGGTTTGACTGATAGCTGCTAGAACAAGCCGGTGAGCTTGGAAGGATTTTCCTTGAACGATAAAGGTGCAGTCCAGGAGTAATTCTTCCTTGCAAAGGTTGTGTAAGTGAGTGAAGAGTCTGTCTGAGTGTGAAGAGAAGTTGTAAGAGATAAGACCAGAATTCTCTGAGAGACATGAAGAAAGGTCGTGAGGAGTTTCTTGAGCTTTAGAGTCTGGTATATGCTTTGGTGTTTGAAGAATAGTTTTTGAGCTTTCTTTTATGCCACTATTGTCCACATGTGTTGCACTTTCTCTTCCGCTTGCTCCACTTCTTCTCATAATGTCTTCCTGTGTGCACTGTCACCTTATAGACTTGCTTGTGTCAGAGCAGACCGCCAGATGTTTACATTCAACGTGTACTGTACAAAGAGAGAAAAGGCAGAACAGCGAGAGTCAGGATAAGTCAGTAATAAAGACACTAGAAAAGTGTGACTACTCTATTCCTGGAAATGCCACTGTACTTATTCACTTTAACATTAGACATGCATCAATTGTCCTCATGACCTCTGAAGTGTCTTTTACGCAAAGAAAACACAACCTAGCCTAAAAAAAGTGTCAATATTGTCATCACGACAAACCTTTAAGTTCAGGAGGCCACTTATTAGCAATGCTGTAATACACGAATGTGTCAAGACACAAACATCTGTCTGTTGCACCTGTTCACAGAGTTCAACATGTAACAACTTACAGTTCATTTTGACAGTAAACGTCCTCGTAAGAATAATTTCCCACGAGATATTAGAAATACCAGCAGCATACGACTTATTGTAATTTTGTACTAAGACGAGTCTTGCTTGATTACAACTGGTTAATATCTTATTTTAGATTAAGACTCTGCATAGGCACCTACCTTGCTTTTCCTTTAGCAGTGTGGGTGGAACAAGTGACTTTGACCAGTGGCATTGTGAGCATGTGGGGCGCACAAGGCACTAGAGCAGGTTTAATTATAGCATGGCACCGACACTATAAAGACTACACTACAAGAAGTTTCCAGTACGCTCAGGAACTGCCTGCTTAAAAAAGTTCAACATGAAGTGAAGTATTTTGAAGTATTACATGAAGGGACTGAAGGTGAAAACGAAGACTGAGAAGATAGTATTGCCCAAATACCTTAAATAACAACAATAACACAGCCATTACTGCTGTGTCTAAAGTCTGACAAAGCATTAATGAGTATAAATAAAACACTCTCTCACTATGTCCCGCGTACGTTTTTTCAATTGTGCTCAAAGTAACATCAGGAAAATCTATTAACCCAAAAAACAATAATATTTGTTTCATTATGTGTTTAATTCAGTTTTTAACATCCATGTTGAAAAGTTGTTACACAACAGAATGAGAGAGAAGAAGAGTTCCTGAAAACGTTTTTAGTGCAGTCATTGTGAAAGTTCCTTCCTGTGCATTATTGACACTGATGAAAAGCATGTAGGCTGAGTCACAGATCAGCTGTGTTACTCATC